ATAACTATATTAGCAACAGTTTTGTCGTTGGCCGTTTTAAATGCTCGGGCTCTTTAAAGCAGGATGGATTCTGATTGGCTGTCAATGCTTTTATCATTCATCAGATGGAATAAAAAATTGTTCAGAAGGTGATTCCAGCAATATCGATCCTTTTGTGCCGTTATCGTTATAGCTTTGGTGGGGACTCTGCTATTCTTTTAAATTTAGAGCGATTTTTAAAACTGTAACTTTATTACAGTAATCATCTTTGGTGTGAATGGACATAAGTGTCCAAATACTGTTTTGATCTGCTTGTATATTACCTTAGGAGGGAAACATTGACTGTAGCAACAGAGCTAACTCCTAGATCTTAAAATGACACAAATTCACGTGTTCAGTATTTCATCCATTTAAAGAAATATCTACATTTCACCATCTAACATATACTAGAGCACTGTGTAGTAGCTGATAGCGGAGAGCTGCGTCGGCCAGTAAATACAAGCATTCCAGATTGACGTCTCTATCTGGGCTTTGTAGCTTTCTAAGCCTACATGGTGATGGTTTGAATCACTCACAGTCCATATATGCCAAGTCTCTCATTAAGCTAGAGACAAACTCTCCAATACAAATCCTATCAGGCACTAACAGACCCCATCGACTCAATGTGGTTTTCATTAACTGTGCGCAATCTAGCAAGCAAAGCCAGGAACAGAGGAGAGAAATCAGATATAATACCACAGGCTTATTTGGAGTGCACTACCGGACTGCTTTCACAGTGAGGTAAGATCCCAAACAAATAAGGACGTACCCTTAGGAACCAGCCGAGGAGAGGTAAGGGGTTTAGCAGGGTGATATACAGTACAGTATATAAGTTCCTCAGAGGTGTATCAAAAGCTCACCTCTCAGCTGGCCGTCACCCAAAGAAACGGTGTAATTGAAGCCATGTGTACCACCAAACATTTAAATACTTGGAACTGTTGCAGAACTAGAGCCGCTGAACCTCCTGACTTCCTTCAGGCCGACATTTTCAAATGATGAGATATTGGAAAAGTTTCTTCCCCTATTTTTTTTTTTCTTGCTTGTTCTCCCGTTACCATATTTGGCAGGGGATCTGGGCTCTTTTTCAGCTGGGTTCGTTCACATTCCAGGCTGATAGTAGCTGAGATGAACATGTGTTCAACCTAAGAGGTGCGGACAGAAAACAGAGGGGTGGCTTCTGCCCAAGGCTTCAACTTTACTCCACAGATCCTCCCAGCCAAACACCTGGAGCTGGACGTCAGTGTGTGGGATGGGGGATGAAAGCAGTCCTAAATATATCTGCAGTCCAACCCAGATCTTTACAGTCTTAGCTGTCCAAACATTAAAATACTAACAGAATGATCTATTCCCTCTGTTAAATTTCAGTCCACCGGCCAGTACAGAGTCGACAGATGCACACGGGCTGCTGACAGGTCAGATGTTTGCAATTTGCTGAAATGTATTTTTAATATATATTTTCATATAATTTATTTATTAGGAATCATTTAAAATATAAATTAGATCCAAAATTATCATTAAAACTAATTATATAATATGTATAAAAATCATTTGTAACAAAAAAATAAGTAAACAGGAAAAAAAGTGATTACAAATTGTGAACAGTGTTCTTTAGTATTTATTATTTATAATAATGTAATATTATAAATATATTAATTTATTATATTTAATATGTATCTTAATTTTATTAATATTTTGAATTAGCTTTTATTTTTATACTTAAATTGAAATTTTTATTTTTGTTTATGTACTTTTGTCATTTTTATTAGATTTTGTTTTTCAAGAAAATATTAAGTTAAACATTTAGGTTGAATTTATTTTATTTTATTTTATTTCAGTTTCAATTTTAGTTTTTATTTATTTCCAGTTTCCAGTTTAATTTCATTTTTCCCATTATCATTTTCATTTGTTTTATTATCTAATATTTTAATTTAATATTATTTTAGTCTAATTTCAATGAACAACATTTTTTTAATAGCTATAGTTTCAGTTTACAATAACCCTGGTGGTAAAAAAAAAATAAAAACTTAACAATAACAGCAGATGATATCTACAATATACATTTTCCCTAAACACAGACTGACAAACCTGGAATCTTGATGTTGAATAGTATATAAAAAAAAATACATATCCACATTCAAAATCCAAGAGCAACAAAGAAACAAAATGTTCAAGTATTAGAGTTATTATGAAGAACGATGGTGATTTATCATATTTCTCCCCCTCATTTTCTTTAAATATAGACAGCAAACATTATCTCTCAACTTACTTTGGAAGTCGGTCAAGCAGTGTCTTCAGTTCCTCGCATATTAGTTTGACAAGTCCACTTTTTATGTTGTTGTAGGAGACGTCGATCATGAAGATGTAGGCAGGAGGATTTGGAGGCTTATTATTCTTAAAGACAAAAAAGAACATCACAAAATGAATTATGGTAGTTCACAAACTTCAAAGTGGGCTGTTTTTGCTTGTTCTTTACAGACTTCGTACACATATCTTGTGGCACAGAATACACAAAGTTTGCAATCATGTGAAAGCATATCATATGCATGAGAAAGCTTTTTTTTATCTTTTTATATATAGAAATGCCAAGATGAACATATTACAGTCTTTCAAAACACAACACTGTGGGCAGTAGGATCACGGTAAAGACTCCTTGTTTTGACTCCCAGAGAACAGTATGCAGTATGGATCAGCTGTGATGATTTGATTAAGCACTGCATGAGTTGATCCTCAAATATGAATAAACATCTGAGAGAAACGGGAGTCCAGATAGAAGATTATGGTGTCAGGCTGAGATGAGGAACCCAGGCACGGACTGGGGCCAAAAATGTGTCATAAATCTCTTTAGTCTGATAACTGAGCTGAAATTAAGTTAATTTGAGAATACAGCCTACTTTTCACCCTGATCTGTGAGATCACAATGCATCAAAAGTTTCTAAAGTATTCACCCTCTGGCTTTTAAAGGAATAGTTCACCCAAAAATCACCCTCAGGTCATCCAAGATGGAGATGAGTTTGTTTCTTCATCTGAACAGATTTGGATAAATGTAGCATTGCATCACTTGCTCACCAGTGGTTCCTCTGCAGTGAATGGGTGCCGTCAGATTGAGAGTCCAAACAGCTGATAAAAACACCACAATAATCCACACCACTCCAGTCCATCAATTAACATCTTGTGAAGTGGAACGCTGCATGTTTGTAAGAAACAAATCCATCATTAAGACATTTTTAACTTCTGGCCAAAATATGAGTCCATATTCTATAATAACGCTTCCTTCCAGTGAAAAAGGTCTAGCCCTTGTTGTCAAAATCTACCCACATATTTGTTTAGAACTGTTTTGGACTGTTTTCAGTGTAAACAATCCTTGATCTGTGCATATTTCTCTGCTGATTCAAACGAGACGACTTTTTTTTTTTTTTTAAGAGAAAGCAATATTATGGGTAGAGGACTCATACTTTAGCCAGAACAACAGAGAGATCAACAACAACAGATTATGTTGCTTTTTTCTTTTTTCTTAAAACATGCAGCTTTTCACTTCACAAGACATTAATTGATGGACTGGAGTGGTGTGGATTACTTGTGGATTATTGTGGTGTTTTTATCAGCTGTTTGGACTCTCATTCTGACGGCACCCATTCACTGCAGAGCATCCATTGGTGAGCAAGTGATGCAATGCTACATTTCTCCAAATCTGTTCTCATGAATAAACAAACTCATCTAAATCTTGGATGACCTGAGGTTGAGTGCATTTTCATTTTTGGGTGAACTATTCCATCAATATTACATTGCCTTCTTGAGCATCAGCGAAGGTTTGCAATTTTATTAGTAGCTAAATTACTCCCTCAACTGTCCACACTGTGAAAATACGGATCTCAAAATGACATATCCACTTATGGAAAGAGGTCAAATATGCAAAAAAAAATGCTGGAAAACCAAAGAATGTGCATTACCTGGAGGACTTTTATAAAGAACAACTGGCAGTTTAACTATTCAGAACAAACGAGGGACTCATGAACAACTATCACAAAGTTGTAGATCATCCAGGTAATGGCAAATTCATGTGTAAACTTTTGAAATGGGTCATTTTCGTAAATTTGTCATTATTTTGTTTTGTGAAATAGCTTTTTTCAGGGCAGTGTTAATGCAAAACAAAATGCCTTTTTATCATTTTGCAGATTCTGTAAGGTATATGCAAACTTTTGACTTAATTACAAAAGTATTAGTATTAAGTACAAAATGTTTCATTAATATCGCAAAATATGCATTCTGTGCATTTAAAAAAAATAAAAATTTGTAAAAAAGTAAACTTTCAGCTGACCTGCTTGCAGAACAGCATAAAAATGGCACAAGTTAAATGTGCCTTTGTATAATCAAATAAAGAGTCATTTTTGTTGTACTCTGAGCATACATTGTGTTCCTCATTTTAAACATATCATATGTTTATCATCAAGATTTAACTGTATATGCCTGAATAAAATATGCAATGTGACTGCCAAGAAAGAAACCTTTCTCAGTTGCTTCCTGGGGCAAGTTGACCCCGTTTGGACAAAACATACAGTCTCTTACCATTACATTTCTAGAGGGAAATTTTGTTAGCGAAGGACTTTATTTAGATAAATCAAATATAACCTATTAATAAACTTTACAAATATAATAAAATCTGACTGTGACCATTGTACACTTACATAAAAAGTGTACATCCTTATTTTCATACAAGTTCTCTGTTACCTTGCAGTAATCCAGTGTGGCAATGAACTCATATGAGCCCAAAGACAGTTCTGGTCTCTCATACAGATCCATTCTTCTCCCCGTATGGTCCAAATGCTGGAAATACTGCACTGGAACTGGAAAGGTAGTGAAAACCCATTTTTAGAAACACTTTTTTTTTTAGCTACGACTGCACAGACAAATAGTCCCTACCATATGTTGACAGGAAACACAGCGTAAGAATTAAGGTCTCAGCAGTCTCAATGGTACAGTACCAACCTTCATTAACGCAGCTGCAGAAGCCACACTGGTAGCGTCGTCCTCCATCGATAAACTGCATGTAAGGACACATGTAGGCCTTGCAGCGGTTGCAGCGGATTGGTCCAGTCTCACCGTGATTTACAATGTACAGAGGAGTCTATAGAGATCAGAGTGAGAAGGAAAAATAAGACCTATATACAGCCTTAACTTCTTTATTGTAACATATACCATGAGGTTTTTATATAGTTGCACATACACTACCCTTCAAAAGTTTTTTTTGGTGTTGTTTTTATTCAGTAAGGATGCATTAAATTGATCAAAATCGATAGTAGAGAATTTATCATAATATCAATTTAAAGATTTATATTTCAATTAAGCATTCTGAAAAAAATTTTTATCATGGTTTCCACAAAAATATGAAGCAGCAAAACTGTTTTCAACACTGATAAACATGTTTTCAACACTGATAATCTGAAATGTTAAGTAGAAAATCAGCATATTAGAATGATTTCTGAAGGATCATGGAGTAATGACGCTGATTTTAAACTGTAATAATGTTTCACAATATTTTAAAATATTTTTACTGTATTTTTGATCAAATAAATGCAGCCTTGGTGAGCACAAGAGACTTTAAAAAAAAAAAATTATATTACAGACTCCACATTTAACGTATACAACTGTAAATAAATAAATAAATAAAATCACATTTAACATTTCAGATGGAAAAAAGTTAAAAGTGCTTCCGCCAGACCCGGAGATCGGCTGAATGGATTCAAAAATGATTCAACTTTTTAACTCTAGGGGAGTTGGAAAATGAGCCTATTTTCAAAAATAGTGGAGTGTTCCTTTAATGTGAAATGAACTTATTAACTTTGGCTCATAGATGCTGCAATGTGGAGTCACATAGTTCAAAATCAAAACTGTTTGCAGTGTATTGTGCCTTAAAATGTGGATTAATTTCCTCCTTTATTTGAGAGCACAATAAACTATTCCTCTGACATGCTCCTTGGAGACTGAACCTAGACTAATTAGCCTCTCATGAGAATACTAACATTTCCTAAAAAGGCTCTGAAGCATAATGATGAAGGGTAAAGCAGTGAGAGACTCCAGAGTTAAACAAGTTTTGAAGGCACCAAAACCACTATTAAACTACTGACACAATAAACTGAAGGGAACACCCATGAATTAGAGTATATTCCAAAGGCAGTCATTTCCAAAGATAACACCATGGACAACAACAAACCTGTCTGATTTAAATGTTTCCATGTAACACAAAAAGAGAAGATTAGCAGAATGCTCACGCTGCTCTTTTACGTATAATGACAAGAGCTGTCAAGCTCCAAAAAGAACAAAAAGCACATCTGCTACAGCTCTCAAATCTCATTAAATCTTATGATACTGTGTGAATATTTAAATTATTCAAATTACACAAAAGAGATGAGTGTTTCGTCAGAAAAAATAAATTATGGTATGACTTCAAAAGATTGGGAATACAGTACACAAGTCACATGGAAAAAATGGAATGGTACTTTTATTGTGTTTTTCCTGTCATTTTTTGGAGATTGACAGCCCCTGGTCTTCATTCAATTTTTTTTTTTTTTTTTTTGTATGGAACAGAGTGCCTAAAAAATAACTTTGGTTACACTTTATTTTAAGGTGTCCTTGTTACAGTGTAACATTTAAGTAATATTAATTAACTACTGTACATGTTACTTTATGGTTAGAGTTAGGATTAGGGTTTGGCTTGGGGTTACTTGCATGTAATTATTCATAATTTGTTATTATTATAATAGTAAGTACATGTAACATGTGTAACAAGGACACAGGATTACTTTAAATAAAGTGTTATCACAGAAGGAATATCATATGGTTAGAAGTGAATTTTGATTTCTATGCTGTTAATATCCCTTATGAAAAAGAAGCACACTTAATTGTATTGAATGTGCACATGTAGTGTACTTCAAATCTTAAAAGCATGTTTTTAACAACTTTACTTTTAGATCATGTAAGTATAATAAAATGAAAGGCCACTTAAGTGAATTTAAAGAGAGTACAAATTCATGACCGTGTATCTTAAAACACTTAATTACTTTTTTAAAGTGAACTTTGTAATAATGTCATGTTAAAAGTTTTACATTAAAGCAGCACATTATAACATCATTAGGTTTTAATCATCTTTTGTCACGCTTTAAACAAGTACACTTATTTTGATGTGATGACTAACATACTTAAACATATGTAAAGTACTTGATTCTAATTTTAACCATAGTATTTTATTTGAAATTACATTTCTTACATTACATACTTAAGTGGGTCAAAAAAAGCACTCAGCTAATTCAACCTAGACTACTGTATAATACATTTTCATTTAATTGCAATTAATATGCAATTAAGTGTCTAAAAACATTACTTTCAGTTTGCACTTAAGTATTTTCTTTTAAAATATATGATTTTTTTGTAATAATTATTCTTTCTAAAAGCATGCTAAAGCGTACTTATTTTTAACAAGGGAACATATGTATAGTTTTACAGAGCTAAACATTATGTACCTCCCCAAGACATGGTTTTGTACATTTTAATCACATGTAAAATGTACTAAATATTCCTCAGAAAGAGTCACACAGCATTCTTCATTTGTAAATCATGTCTGCTACATGAATAAATGTAAAAATAAATCTAGTATATAAACTCAAAACTGAAGAACTGCAAAAATCAGAGTGCTGGGAAATGCTGCATACCTCATTTTTGGGCACGGTGGCGAAGGGTTTGATAATGGCTGCCAGAGGCACTTTGCACTGCTTTGCAAGGTCAGCAGTGCTGGGGAAGGAATATGTTGTGCACCGCATGAACCTTGGGCTGGCATTCCCTTAAAATGGCAAAAAAACAAACATTTACTATATTAAACAAAAGCACCTTTAGGCTAATATTAGGAGTGAAGTGCAAAGACAGTTCCCATGCTCACCTTGATCCTGCACTGTGAAATCTGTGGTGACCAGTGGAGGCACCTGACCTCTGATGTTTGTGACATACACCTGGCCTCCTCTCTTAGCCTGGTCATCCTCAATCACTTGTGTCTGCAACAGACAAGTCAGTGTACCTTGAAATGTGCACAAATTTAAATACTTTTACACTATAAAGTAGCATTTATTGCCTGTTATTACCGTGCTTGGAATGGAGTCCGGGTCCAGCTTCTTTTGAGGAGGGCCTGCCATTTGTGCTGGACCTCCAGGAAAGCCTCCTGGGAAAGCGCCTGATTGTGGCCCTGCCATTTGCGCACCATACGGGCCTGACATTGGGCTCCCTTCAGATCAGAAACAAAAAGAGTTATTTAAGCTAGTCAACATTTGCCTCTAAAAATAGTGAATAGAGGTGAGGTGTGTCATTTCTGCACCACAAATGCAAGAGAAAAAATAAAGACAGTTTCTGTTAACATAACTCACATTTAGTCAGATAGTCCCGAACCAAACTCACACAACTGGTTGAACTAATGTTGCTGCCAGACTCGTGCTGAGGCCTCTCTCATAAAACATTGGCTACCCAGTAATGTCTGAACAAACTTTTTTTTTTAAGTCTCATGTAGGTGGATTGTTTTATACGAGGATTTAGGATTAACATATACACTACCAGTCAAAATTTGGAATATTTAAGATTTTTCTATATTTTTGAAAGAAGCCTCTTATGCTCACCAAGGCTGCATTTATTTGATAAAAAAACATTATTATGATATATTACAGTTTAAAAGAACTATTTTCTATCTTAATACATTTTTAGATATTCAAATCAACGCTTCTTTTGAACTTTCTTTTTCATCAAAAAATCTTGAAAAAATATATGGCACATTTTCCACAAAAAAATCACACAGCACAACTGTTTTCAACACTTATAATAAGAAATGTTTCTTGAGCAGCAAATCAGCATATTAGAATGATTTCTGAAGGATCATGTGACTCTGAAGACTGGAGTAATTATGCTGAAAATTCAGCTTTGCATCACAGGAATAAATTATATTTAAAAATATATTCAAATAGAAAATAGTTCTTATAAACTGTAATAATATTTCAAAATATTACTGTTTTTACTGTATTTTTGATTGAATAAATGCAGTCTTGGTGAGCATAAGAGACTTCTCTTCAAAATCTTAAAGGGGTCATGAACTGAGAAACCTTGATCTATAAAAACATCTTGTAAGTTTCAGAACTCAAAACTTTCTCTTCAGTCTAAAAACAGCTTATATTGAAGGCCAAAACGACAGGTTGTGGAATGGTCTACTCTATGATGATATAGTGTGGATAACACACAGCAGTGAACACACACACACCCCACGACTGAGGTGCCCTTGAGCAAGGCACCGAACCCCGAACTGCTCCCCAGGCGCCGCAGCAAAAATGGCTGCCCACTGCTCCAGGTGTGTGTTCACGGTGTGTGTGTGTGTTCACTGCTGTGTGTGTGCACTTTGGATGGGATAAATGCAGAGCACTAATTCCGAGTATGGGTCACCATACTTGGCCACATGTCACGTCAC